GGACTCATTCTGGGGGTCTAAGGACAAACAATTAGAATCATTGATTTCAGAGGTAGAGAACTGTTGGCACAGAGAGAACAGCTGCAAAAATACACCAAAAAAGGAAGCACACCTTTATGGTCAGTGACGAGCCCTAAGCCACAACTCAGTCTTTTGGAATGAAAAAGGCCAACTCACAGAAAACCCGAGACCAGAAAGTTCTTGAATCTTTTTTGGGGAAAGTTGGTCCACTTTTTAATATTGATCCAAAAAATAACAAAGTCATTTCTGCCAAATATCATCCTCCACCACTCTTTTTTTTTTTTTTTTCAGTTAGCACTGATTTTTATAATTTTAAATAAACAATTGCAATGGTTGGGAAAATGTAGCTCCAAATCCATCCACACGTGTCGTCATATGAGATGCCATCCAGCTCCCAAGGGGACATCAGTCTGGGGTCTGCTCTGCCAGGCAAAGAAAGAAAGAATTAGATCTCCTTGGAAAGGTGGATTTCCCCCATTTCCTTTTCATTACCACAAGTTACTCTCATTGAATTGTTTAAGCACAATTTGCTACACGTGCTCCTGGGAGTTAGCTGTCAGCAAAACACTCACAGCATAGACTGCTGAATGGAACACAAACAAGTCTGACCCAGTTGCTGTGGAGATGGACTCATGACGGCCTGTGTGGATCAGAGTAGGGCTGTGCTCTGTCAGGTTGTCAGTGGCTAATTATTATTTTTTTTTTTAAGATTTCCAGGCCTTTCTTCTGAGGTGTCTCTAGATGACAGCTGAGTGTTTAACTATTTGTACAACCAAGAGATTCCTTTGGAGGTAAAAGAGACGGCCAGTTGACCATGTGAAGGTGAGTGACTCTAATACCACCCCAGTGTAAGATGGTTCAGAACATGGTATTTCTCATCGTATCAGGAAAGTGATTAATTTTTTCACTCATAATCTAAATCTAAATTGCTAAAAGTAGACAAGAATAGAGGCGGCTGGATGTAATAGTCGAGCTTTGAATGATTTAACACTTGGGGTGATGCCGGAGCGCCAACCTATAGAGAGTTGTCTGTCTGCTGTGATGATGTTGGAGAATTGTGGTTAGAAGGTTTGTAAGATTGACTTGACTCTATTCACATACTCAGTTGTATTTTTTCCCAGATTGTTTTAAATTTGTTATTCTGAGTAAGCATCAGAAGCTATGTACATGCATTGCCCAAAGGGTAAGATAATATTAATTACTGGCTAACAGATACCCCTCAAATAAGTTTTTTCCCGAAGAATCATAAATTAATTCCTTAAGAAAGGCCTGAATCTCTGAATGTTACTAAATTGTCAGTGGAACTGGCCTTTTTAGAAGCCAGCTAGCACTATCAGTGCTATGATGTTTGGAGGATGGGGTCATTAGACTCTCTAAAACAATGGTTTTACTGTTCAAAATGGTCTTCTATGCTATTGCCTTTGACTTCCACCACTTCGGATGGGAACATGTAAATAGGGTATGTGTTCTATCCATGAGGGAATTTGCCAGTTTTGTCATCCTTCAAGTTTAAATTGAGCAGCTTCAATGGCAGAAAGTGAAGCTCTCACTACCAGCAAGGAAGTAAAAAAGCAGAGAATGCAGCACACCTTTTGCATGTCCTTCAGGGCTAGAAATTTCAGTGTCAATCAGAGCAGTAACAGCAGCAAGAGCAGCAGCCACCACAGCAGAGAACTAGAGACCGACATGAGACAGAGCTGAGTGGGGACCGATGTTTGAAGAGCTGGAGCGAGGGGCCTGTGCCCAAGCTTGCTGGAAGACTGGGGAGGAGATGCCATATTTGGCAGGATTGAGAGCTTTGTAAGACTACCTAAAGTCAGACTGAAGATTTAAAGGCCTGTGCACACCCTTCAGAAGCTGTCCTGACTGAAGAATTGCATCATGTTTCCAACCTGAAATGTAACTTGCTATCAACCCTCATAAATCCCATAACCATGAATGTTGTGAGATATTCATGACAGATTGTAGACCCAGTAGTAGAGCAGTGACAGCCGAGGAGGGTTGGTTTTGGACTTACTAGAAGTGGATAAGGAAAGTGTGGGGGGCATGGCTGATCTCCTGGAAATAGGAATACTGTGAATGTTGTTGATGGGGACAAGGGCCCCTTGTGAAGATTAGATTCAGCCAGCCCCATGCTTTTCCTACTACTATTTTTATAGATCACAATTATATCTCAGTTCCTTTAAAGAATCTGTCATCCAACAGTTTTCCATTCAATTGATGATTTCCTTGAAGTTGGTAATTCCGTAACCTTCATTTTAGCATTTTTGGAGTTGGTTAAGTTGCTTTGCCATGTTGTTGTTGTTATGTGCCGTCGAGTCGCTTGTGACTCATAGCGAGCGACCCTATGTACAACAGCCCTAAACTCCGCTCTGTCCTGTGCCAATCGCACTGTCTCTGACACTCCCTTACCAATTATCCCAGTCACTGAATCAATCCACCTCATAGAGGGCCTTCCTCTCCTGTGCTGTCCCTCCACCCTCCCAAGCATGATGTCCTTCTCCAAGGACCGGTCTCTCCTCACACCATGTCCAAAGTATGTTAGACGGAGCCTCAGAATCCTTGCCTCCAAGTAGCCACCCAGTTTAACCCTTTCCAGGACAAATCTGTTTGTTTTCCTAGCAGTCCATGGTATTCTCAATACTCTTCTCCAGCACCACAGCTCAAAGGCATCAATTCTCCTTCTATCCTCCTTGGTCATTGTCCAACTCTCTGATGCATAACAAGTGATTGTGAAGACCATGGCCTGTATCAGACACACCTTAGTCTCCAGAGAGACACCACTGCTCTTGAGTACTTTAAAGAGGTCCCTAACAGCAGACTTTCCCATGGCAATGCGCCTTTTAAGGTAAAGCAGATGTACCTTTATTTTCCATTACAATCCACATTGTTTACCACGGGCTAGAAGGACTTCATACTTCCCCCCCCCCGCCCCCAGTTTTCTTACTACTCTTCCTCATCACTGTACTTTGCTTGATTGATCTGTCCTTCAGTTTTTATGTTCTTTTGACACCCTATATTGTTTATCACCCTAGGGTTTTGCACTTGCAATCCTTTTGCTTGACTTTTATGCACTGTCTTCTTGTCAACCAGGTGTCAGCCCAGCCAGCTGAAGAAGGCCCTCCAGCATTATTTTAGCTAACTTTAATCCTCAATTCCTCCCATACTCTATCACATTACTCTTTCCCCCTTTCAGAAATCATTTCACTGCTTTGTTTTGTCTTCCTCTCTAGAACCTAAATCTCTGGGTGGTTTATCATTTCTTCTATTCTCCCATGACTGTATTCCTAGTGTCTGGCATATAGTAAGTGCTCAATAAATATTTGTTAAACTCAAATTCGTTGTCATCAAGTCAGAACCGACTCATAGCTGACCCTCCAACAGGTTTTCAGAAGCTGTAAATCACAAAGCAGATGCCCTTCTTTCTCTCTTGGAGCAACTTGTGGATTCAAACCTCACTCCTTAGGGTCGGCAATGCAACTCCTTATCCATTAAGCCATCGGAGCTCCCTTTGTTAGATGAATGTAGAGGGAAAGAATATCTCCCACTGACACAATCTCTTTGTGAAAGTTGAAACTCATAAATTACCGATGTCCAAGAACTCTAGCCACAATATATCCTTAGACTTTTCTAATAAAACTTGGTAATAGAATTCCATTATCGGCTAGTATTCCTGGTCCCATGTTCTCCTGTTAGCAACCTCCCCAACCTGCTGCTGCTATTGTTGTTTTGTGTGCCATTGAATCATAACCAACCCATGGCTGACTCTTCAGCAGGTTTTCAGAGGCAATAATTGCACAGGAGGAGACCGCCCATCCTTCTTCTGCAGAGAAGCTGGTGGATTTGAACCAAGTGCCTTCAGGATTGCAGCACAGATTCTTACCACTAGGCCACTAGAGCTCCCTTGCTGCTATTGAGTTGACTCCAATTCATAGTGACTCTACAGGACTGCATGGAACTGCCCCTGCATAGAACAGGATCTCTGAGATCATCTTTACCGAAGTAGATGGCCACATTGTTCTTTCACAGAGTGTGGAGCGGGTGGAATTACCAATGTTTAAATTAGCAGCTTAGTACTTTTAATCATTATAGCACCTCATTATGCATCAGGATTCAAACCCACCTGTTCACTTACTCATTGCTGTCAAGTTGGAATCAACTCATAGCAAACGCTCCAATGGGTTGTTGGTTTTTTTTTTTAAATTTTTTATTTTATTACTTTGTGTGTGTGTACCATCAAATCAGATCTGACTGGTACAGGAGGAGATTGCCCCTCCTTCTCCAGCAGAGCATCTGGTAGATTCAAACTGCATACCTCTGGGATGGCAGTGCAGCTTCTTACAACTAGGCCACCATCCATTGGGGTTTTTTTTTCATGGTTGATATTTTATTGGTTGTTCATCCATTGGGTTTTAAAAGCTGTAGATAACACAATAGGAGATTACCCATTTTTCTCTTTGTAGCTGTTGATGGATTAGAACTATCTTTGGGTTAGAAATGCAACTCCATACAGGCTAAGCCACAACTTTCCTTTCCCACCTGTTGTTGTTAAGTATCATCGAGTCAAGTACAACTCATAGTGACCCTATGAACAAAAGATCTGAACTCTGTTCCATAATTATTGTCATTTCTTTAATGTTCACAGGCCTGTTATTTAAGAAGTAGAAGCCAATTCTGCTTTCAAATCCTGCTTAATCCGGGAGCTCTCCCAAACCTCGTCCACCATGGGTAACCATTATGGCATTTGATACACTGGTGGCACAGCAACTTCAAGTAACCTAAGTACATCAAACTGACAAGACAAATGCTGTACCACTTAGAAGGTTTCCCCCAAACACAACACCAAGCCCAGGGCCCAACCAACTTTTAAATACAAAGGCCCACCCACAAGGTCCTGACTTACTTAAGCAAGAGGTTTCCAGTCCACAGCTGATAACTAAATTGAGGCAATCAGATTCTCACGTGTTACTCACCTGTAATTACTGTAGTACTCCCAAATCAGCTAGACGTTTCTGCAGCTCACCATTCTGCTGCAGACTTTCTAGATCAGAGCATCCTCCTATGCAATCATTACCTAAGAAAACACGAGGCACCTGTAAAAGCAAACCAAGACATTTAAGAAATTTACTAGATTAGAAAGGGTAAGCTCCACTTTTTTCCCCGGGGCCCTGTTACTCCCACACTAGAGTTCCTGTTAAGGATGAAGAAAGACCTGACCAAAGGGAGAGGCATGGTAGGCCCAAATACGGAGTGCAGAGGGCCAATGTCTTCAGACAGATTCCCTCCATCCTTTGCTGAGCCAGTAACTGCTGGTAGAATACCTGATCTCCTTCAAATATTTTCTAAAGTCCACACTTTTTCAAATCACTTTACAACCTTCTCATATGCAACTTTTTAGAGTCAATAATATTACTGTTATTAGAATAAATATAGTCATTAAAGAATCCTTTTAAACCAGGCTGTTTTTCAAATTGAGGTCACTGTGCATTAAACAACTAGCCAAAATGATTTTAAAATGTCATTCTAGAAATTTTGGTTAGCTGCAGTTTGGCCACCCTGATCAAATTCTACTTTCTCTCCATGTGTGTTGTGTTGGGAAAATCTGCTGTCAAGGAGCTCTTTAAAAAGTGTGAAATGGCAAGAATGTAATTTACAAACTAAGGTGTGCTTGATCCAAGCCATGGTATTTTCAGCTGCTGCCTATGTATCTGAAAGGTGGACAATGAATTACGATGACAGAAGAATTGATGCCTTTGAATTGTGGTACTAGAGAAGAATACTGACTATCCCATATACTGGCAAAAGAACAAATAAGCCTATCTTGGAAGAAGTGGAAGCCAGGATCCTCCTTAAAGGCAAGGATGGCGAACCTTCATCTCCAAGACTTTGGACATGTTAGCAGGAGGGTTCAGTGCTTGGAAAAAGAGATCATGCCAGGAAAAGAGAAAGAGAAGAAGACTTGTAACAGGATGAGTTTACACAGTGATAACATGGGGGAGATCATGAGGGTGGCACAGAATTGGACAAGTTTCTGTTTTGTTCATAAGGTTGCTGGAAGTCATAGTCTACTCAGTGGCCCATAATAATTTAAGTTGTGACCACACCTGAATTGTTAAACTGAGCTGCTCTGTTGCTACCAAGCTGTTCCTCACTCACAGTGATTCTACAGGACAGAGTAAAACTACCTGACAGAATTTCCAAGGCTAGAACTGTCATATTGGTTTAAATTCTAGCCAAACAATAGATGGACCTATAAAGTCCTTTGTTCATGAAGCAGTTAGTATGTTTGAACCATAGACCTTTGGATTAGAGTTATCAGCCTGATACTTAAGCTACTATGCCAGCGGGGCTCCTTAACTGGAGCCCCAACAACCATTAATTCATTTCTTAATACAATTGGAAAAGTTAAATACATGAGATGCCGGCCCGTGATTTTTACGCTTGCGGTTATCATAGTCAGGTGTCTCAGTTGTTAAAACACAAGGAAGCACTATCCTCAGCCACAGAAGGTAGGGCTGGTGGTTTCTGAACCTCGTTCTTTAATATCTGATTCATCATAAGATATTTAAATGCTACAATTCTGGGACAAGGGCATCCATCTACTCAGGCTTCATAATTAGATGCGGTATTATTACACCTGGTTTGTGAGTTCATCTTCAGCGTACCTCCTTGCTGCTAGTAACAAACACATTGCAAAATTCCAGAGGACTTTTGGAATCCTGTGGGAGAAGTAAGTTCCCTCACTGCAACAAGTTCAAGGCCCAAGATGTTACACAAATGCTGAACAGTGGTGAAATTGCCACCATACAGATCGCCTGACTAATCAGAAGCAAGTAGGTCTCCACCCTCCACTAGGAATGTACCAACAGATGTGGGTAAGATGAAAGGCAGGGAGCAGTAAGAATAGTCTCAAAACTTTCCTTTTTTTCAGAAGGCTTAAAAATTTCAGTGAGTTGTAAAACAGGATTGACATTGGGGTTGGGGGGAGATTGAGAAAGATGGGATAAATAATGTATACTGTATTGAGACAGATGAGGGAGAAAACTTTTTAAAAGGGATTATGTGATTAGATATGATTGTCATGACAGGAGTCCAGAACGAAGGCTGCATAGTGGAGTGGACCTGGGGGGGAGGGATTGTAAAACAATGAAAGAATTTTTCTTTTACTTTTCTAAGACAGTAGTGTACTGGGGGGAAAGGGGAGAGGGAGAAAAGTGCAACAATGAATGAATGGAAATCCAAAGTCTCTGTAAATTTTCATTAAAATTAATAAAAGAAAGAAAAAAATTAAAAACTCAAATGAATTCTTTAAAGCGTGGACAATATGAGCGGAAAAGTGATGAATTATTGCAAGTAAGTTTTTATAGTATTTGTATAAAGGAAGGAGCCCTAGAGGAAATGTGTTTAAAAAAAAACAAAAACAAAAAACCACCCTAAGCAAATTTCTATGGCTGTTTCCTATGCCGAGAAAGAAGAATGCCAAGGCCTTGGTTCTGAAGCTGGCTGTGCCCCCAGGGCACACTGTGTGTGGAGGTAATGTCATGGATCATGTCACATGCTGCCCGCCCCATCTACACCAGAGGTGGGAAGCTTTGCAAATGTGGAGCAGCAGCAACAACAGCATCGCTTTTATCAATGTAAGAACAGCTGCAGAAAGATGAGGTATGAAAGATTTCCCACCCCCACCCCTCCTCAAACCCTAGCCTTTATTTTAAAGAAAGTTATGCTCCCCTCCTTCAAATTGTAGGGTCCTTTTAGCTTCTTACTTCCCAGCAAGACTTGGCTCTGGTCTGTTGTAATGGTAAACAGATCCGAACCCTAATGTGATTCCAAGGTGATTACATAGCACTGCTGCTTCAATTGAAGTCATTAGAGAATGAAATAAAAATCATCTGAGCTTAAACAAGGTCATGGCTTATCTGTTCATTGACTTTCATACTTTCAAAAAGAAGAGAGAAATTGTAAATATACCTACTCCCCACTTATTTAACTATCTGGTTATTCGACATTTCACATTTATGACAATAGGAAATAAAAAAATCTACTACTAAAGATTTTGGTCATTAACGACCTACATTTGGTGCTAGGTAAGAACAACTTTGGTCCTGGAGAGAGTGAAGCCAGGCTGCTCCTTGGAGGCAAGGATTCTGAGGCTTCATCTGACATACTTTGCACATGTTACAAGGAGGGACCAGTCCTTGGAGAGGAACATCTTGCTTGGGAGGGTGGAGGGACAACGCAGGAGAGGAAGACCCTTGATTAGATGGATTGATTCAGTCACTGGGGTAATGGGAATAGGTGTGCCAGAGACAGTAAGATTGGCAAGGGATAGAGATGTTGTATATAGGGTCGCTATGAGTCACAAGCCACTCAACGACACATAACAGCATGATGGTTAAACTTAAGTGTCAGGTTGGTTGGGCTATGATATCAGTGTTTTGGCAGTAATGTGACGATGTGGTTACCTTCCATTTTTGCATAACACTACATTTTGCATCATGACCTGGTCTGTCGAACCTAATCACGAGGATAAATGTTAGGTGTCTTCAAGTACAACTCAAGGTGAGTCTATGAAGAACAGACCTAAATCCTGTCCTATCCTGTGCTGTCCTTATTATCTCTGACAAACTACAGCCCATTGTTGTAGTCACTGTGTCAACATATCCAAAGTATGAGAGACAGTAAGTGAGGAGTGGGTATATATATATAAGGTTGCCACATCTTGACCTTTGAGCAAAGTGGTTCATTAAGTCTCAGCATTTACATCATATGTAAGTGTATCCTGAGGAAGGGAGTCTTCTCAGAGTTCTCACACTGGATCATGTATCAGAATCACCTGAGGCCCTGTTAACACTGGTTTCTGTTCCCCACCCACTCTCCTAGAATTTGTAATTCAGTAAATCCCCATTGGGCCCAAGAATTTGCAGTCCTCATTCTCAGGCAATGATCAAGCTACTGGTGCAGGGTCCGGGCACTGGTTTAGATCATTGTTGGGTGCCATAGGCAATTTTGTCTCATAGTGACCCCATGTAATGGTGCAGCTGCCCCGTAAGTTTCTTGTGAATGTCCTTATTCAAAGAAGCAGATTGCCAGGTCTTCTTTCCTTAGAGCCACGAGGTGGGTTTGAACTATCAACTTTTTTGGCTAGCAGCCAATGGGTTAATTCTTGTACCACCAGAGCTCCTTGATTTAGACTGAGTCATCATTTAATTCCTTCTAGGATAATTGAAGTTTTTCAAAACCCACAGTCCTCTATCACCCCCAGCTGCCTAAGACCTCAAAACATGATCGGTCTGTCTCTGGAGCAGAATTTAGTGCATCATGGCTGGCAAAACAGCTGATTTGCCTGAGAGATGAAAGGCTCCTTTGCCCTCGCACCCACCCTCTAGGATAGAAAAAACCCAAAACTGCCTGAAAGCACCCAGCTTAACAGAATGAGAAGCTGTGTGGGTCAGTGTGGGGGCTGTGCAATGAGACAGGAAACAGAGGCACTGTTGATTCAGCTGTGAAGAGATGAAATATGCCCTCCACTGCTCCACCCCTGAGAGGAAACTGACAGCCTGTTACTGTGAAAGAGGAAAGAGAACTGCCACCACAAACTCGAGTTGGGCAATATTAAGGGCACTTAGTATCCTGGATTGAGTGTCCCCAAGCCCCAGCCTCAGCGGGGTCTCAGATTCTCCAGGGTTACTCAGATGTAGCAAGTCACAGCTAGTTCCTCACCTCTAAACTACCCCCATAGTACAAGCTATTAGCATTTCTCACTTGGATTATACTGTGGTTTCCTGTCACTCAGTTGCCAGCATCACCCTGACCCTTCCACAGTCTCTTTTTCCTGACAAGTCACTAGAGTGGCCCTTCTTGAAATATAAATCAGGCCACACCTCTGCTCAGTACCCTTCAGTGGCAACTCATCTAGTACCAAGTACAAGCCCAAGTTCACACATTATTTTGAAAGATCCTTCCCAATTAACTCCAGCAGTGTCTTGGATTTTGTCTCTACTGTCCCACTAGTTGACATGATCCAACCAACCACACCAACCTCTCAGCCCTGGCATGAACCTACCAGGAACACATCTTCAACAGGGCTTTA